GAGAACCACCTTGAAAAGAGGAAGAGAATGAGGATTAAAAAAAAGTATTTTGTCACGTAGCTGTCGCTCCGCGTTTGATTTATCTACTGTACGCGCGTAGTCGAACGCATAGTCGTATCGCTTTCCTAGGAAGAAAAAAAAGCAATTTTTGCGTGCTGCAATATCCGTGTGCGCAGTGCATTCGCTGCACCAGTGACTTACTTTAACCCTTTGCATCGGAATTTAGCCTGCAGCTATTGCACACTCGGATATATCACGCGGTATGTGGCGCACTTTGAAATTGTTTTATACAATTGCAACAAAAAGAAGGTTTATACAAAATATTCCGTGCGCTGCTCAATGTTTTACTCAGACATATTAAAATTAAAATTCAGGAAAGTAAAGCGAGTTTTTAACGTTGGTACATTGTAACAATTAAATAAATACAAAATTAAATATTATGCTTAAAAGTAATAAAAATAATAAAATTCTTATAGAAAAATTATTTCATACAAACATTATAAATATAAAGTAGATTTATTTAAATTTGAATTAAGCTTAATTTATGTGCCACATTTTGAAAAAAAAAAGAATAAATTGCCTTTTTGCTCAACAATTATAATTATAATAATAATTAACATAATTAGTTTTGAAAGAAAATATACCTACGTATAAAAAAAAAAGGATACCGTATGCAGTTAAACATTTTTTCGATATTTTTGAAATAGAAAGTTCTCTAAAATAAGAGATTTAATTGTTAAGAATATAACATATCTCGCCATAATTCTTCCAATAATTTTCTTTAAATATTATTAGATATAATAGTATTATATTTAATTATATAATTAATAATCGTATTGTATATATAAATGGAATAATATACATATATGCATATATAAATAGAATAATATACATATATGCATAATAAAATGGCAATTATCCTATCATTATTTCATCTGAATATTAGTTTCCATATATTAAATAAATACGATTATCTTATCAAGAATATTCAGTTATGTCACATCATAGAGTACATATAAACAAAAATTCTTAGTTTATATTGAAACTCATTTTACGCGTTTAATGTCTCGTTTCTATTTTTCTTTATTATAATTTTATTATACTTCTTATCTGGATAAAATCAATAACAAAAATATTATTATTGATTTATTAATCAAACTTATCTTCCAGTTCTTCCGAATTTTGGATCGTTATCTATCTTATCATGCAAATATTCATATTTTCCAGTCCGAAAATTACTTTGCTGTTTGTATTTGATTACTGGCATCAAATAAAAATTACAAATATATATTTGAGTGCGAAATCCGAAAGAGTGTGTACACACAATATTTACTATTGCCCAAACCATCATCACATTGTTTTTTACGCTCATGCGGATAATATCAACCGAACTGGATCGTGATGTAAAAGAAAGTTTATTCTCTCGCGTACGGTAAATAGAAGAGATAAAATTACACACTCATCGAGATTTCGTCGTCAATTTACTGGCGAGGAAAATGTCGCTCAAATATAATTCAAATGCAAATCTCGATTTTACGGCCTGATTGATAGAAAAATAACGATTTTTCATTTATTGTGTAGTATTTCGACGTTGAAAATAAAATTAGCTATCCCAATAAAGTTTAACATTACTTATGTAATCATAATCAATATACCGCTGACGCCACTGTCATCAGTCAAAAGTTAAGTAAGAAGTTTACTTTTTGTACTCCGCTGTCACGACAGTTTATTATCCCATTAAGAGAAGATATCATGCGCGTCGGGTTACATGCCTTCGCGAAAATTTTGTCAGCAGTTTTCTTGGGGTTCAGCCAGAATGTCACTATACGTTACTAAAAGAGACATCGGAACACCATGACATAGCGAGATGTCGCGGCGCGATAATGTTTGATGATAATTGAACATCTACGGTGGAATTATATGCTGAATGTATGTGTGCGTATAGATATCACGTTATAAAAGAAAATGTTGGACATGTAATCTCTGTAACAGAGACATTTTAATTTCCTGTCTTTAATTTCTTAGTTTTTCCTGATATATAACACGTAGCAGAGAATATATTGAAGAAATAGTCGGCAGAAAAATTCAACCTCAATGGCGAGAGATTCATTAAAACCTTTTTTATTCGTTGACTTCTCGATGGATGCGCAAATAAAATAAACTGCTCATTAGCTTTGAACCGTGACATTTCGATTCGCGCTGAATTTAATTCGCGCAGCAAATAGAATCTTTTTTTATTTACGTTTTATCTTCTTTTCAGAGAATTTAGTTAAATCGTGGTGGTTAATGGAAAATAATACAAATTGATAAATTCAATTTTATAAACTGGCAAATTTTTACCGTAACTATGCAGTTAAATATGTAGTTTCAAATTGTTAATAAATCTGTTAATTTGTGCGTTTTGTTGTGTTTTTTTTTACATTATTGAAATTTTATAGCAGACTTATATTGACTGCCTTGTAAATAGTGTAAAAAAATTATTTGATAAAAATAAAATTGATCGTAGTAAAAGAGATAAAAAAAGACTTGTTAGATGATAGTAGTGCCTTGAAAAGCCATTACCATTATGAACATTCAAGACATAATATATTATCGCTCTGTAATATATCATAATTCTTATTACTAAAGTTGAGAACACTATATATACCACGACAAAAGCCGTAACTTTAGCTGTAGCTTAAAATTTCGGAATTTACATTTTTTACATTCAATAGCGTTCAAAAGTGCTAGCTTTCGCGCTTTTGCAGGTAAGAATAATTCAAGTTGAGAGAATAAACTAAAATATAAATGGAAAATGAAGTAACTTATTATCGATAAAAGAGATGATCTCTTAAACAAATAAACTTTATCCCGGTATTATCACGTATTTGTTGTAGTTATTCCGTTTTGTAGTATACATTTACATGGATTATTTATATTTAAGAAGTCGGAGAGTTTACTATTGCCGAAAGATATGTAAGATTATAATCCTTTTTGTAAAATAATGAAGAAGCACTATTGTATTTTATATTTGCCATAACTGGCAAACGAAATCACATTTCTAAGTGTCTCAATAAAAATTAATTAAATAATATCCGCAAACAAATCACTTTTCGGCAAAGTGATTTCTATTTCCAGAAGAAGATGAATGCACCGGGAATATATATCCGTCTTGAGAATCCGACGATTTAAGAAAATTCACATTTGAGGATCATAGCGCGCGCGTAGTAACGGATGAAGGCGGGAGCGTTTAGGCGAGCATCAAGTCGCTGATGAATGCGAACTTTATCTCAATCCTCTTTGCATAGGAAGTGGTCAGGATCGATGTCCACTAACGCGGATAAAACGACTTCGTTTCACTCTCCGCTCTCCTATCTACACTCTTCCAGAAAGCGTAGAATCAACTTAGATACTCTCTTTTCATTCCTCTTTCTTCTCGCGCTCCCTCTTCATTCTTTCCGTTCTTTACTTGGCATTGCGGTGAATCATTTGAACCATTTTGTAGCCGATATGTGCTACTTCGTTTATCACACTTACTTCTTCCTTCTAAATCCCTATATATTTTATTTGTAATTTTCTACTAAGCTTCACAGTTTCAGTAATACCGTTTTGTATTTGCGTTATCTACCGCCAGCGTTGCAAAGAATATAAATGTTAAAAATTTTTATACTTCATAAGCTTGTGTAATATAATCGTGAATTTATTTTAAGCAAAATGTTAATAAATTCAGTGCCGCTTAAAAAATAAGACGATTCCGAGACCTTGCTCGCTGCGTAAATCCCGCGCGATGAAGCTTTAATTCCTCCTCGCAAAACGTGAACATTGTCAAATATACGGGCTTAATTCAGGAGCGTGGTCAGACTCGGGCGAGCGCAGTAATCCAGGTGGGAAGCAATTTCGGTTCTTCATCAGACTGCCTTATGTACTTAAAACGAAAAGAGGGTGCCGTGCGTGTTATTCTAGACGCCAGTGCACGTCCTGCTATCTTCTTCTTTTTCCGTCAACCTCTTTTTTCCTTTACGGTGCCTCGCATGGTGAAGTCCTTGCAATTTTTAAACCATGTCCCCAAAGCCTACGAAGCACTTCGAAACACCGCAAGATTGGATTGGCGGAGTTGCGATCGTCCTGTGAGACTGCAAGAAATGGATTTTGCGCTCCGAACCGAAGTATGGTCAACGTCGGGGAAACTCGATAATCCAGATAAGATGCAACTTGGTTTCTTACAGTAAGCCTTCGAAAAGTGACGATATCGTAGCACGAGAGCTTCTGGCCTGTTAGTCTCACTTTTTGCCATTTCGTATTTTTTGATTAGTTCGAAAAGTGGATTATATATACACAAAATGCAAAATTTAAATAAATAAAAAAAAATAACAAAAAACATCTTTTTCTTTACATTTCAAGATACGATAATTTTTTGGTTAAAAGTAAATTTATCAAAAATTATACTTTAAAATTAAGAAATGGCAATATATAATATTTTTATTATCCTAATTCCAAATATTTTGTTTCTCGTGAACAAAGTTCAGTGCACAAATTAGTTGCAATTTAAAGATAGAAATTTTACAGTTTATTTAAATTTCCAATCATGTTTCATATTCCTTTTGATGAATATATTAAGACCATCGTGAAACTGCGAGCTGGTCAGGGTCGCGCAATTCTGCTAACCCAGATAGACGAATGCAGGCCTGCTTCTTCGTAAAGTTATCTTCGACACTCGCGTAGGATATCGAACGAGCACTCTGTGTGTTGTGTGCGCTTCATCCTTTCCTCTTGCACGCTTAGTGTCTCTTGTTCTTCTTTCTCCCTCTCCTCTCTTCTCTTTCTCTTTCTCTCTCTCCGTTTCTCCATCCTGCTTCTTCTCTATCGCACTATTGCCATTTCTCTTCTCTCTCTCCGTCGCTCCAGAAACCACCCCGCTCGAGCCACCCTCGGATGGCCACCCACTATTCCGCACTGCCTGTCCGCGCATTCGGGGGTGGCGGTAAGTTCTCGCTCAGCCAGTGCACGCGCGTCTCTCGCGATCGTCGGACCGCGCGTACGTAAAACGGGGGAGGTTTTTGTCGAGCGTGGATATTCGCGCGCTGTTTTTGTAAGCCGGTCGAGAAAACTCGTCTAAAACTCGTGACTTAGTGTGCCGAAAGAAAGCTCGATGTTTTTTCGCGAGTGGATGCGGAGAGTTTCAAGAGTCCACAACACGTCACGGAATACTTCGGATTGTTCGACGATCGAATCAGCCGGCTATCACAATCTCGGAATTCTTCGGACAACGATGGTAATCGATGGAGGTGAAACTTAACGAGACTTCGTCGTACGAACTGTCTTAGTGAAGGAGGACTTTAAGACTTAAAAAAATTATCTGCTGTCATGTGTCGGGTTGTCTGAGTTTTGTGATCTTTCAAAAGAAAATTTTAATCAGTTGACATATGTTGCCGATTTCAGTGACAATTATAGAAGAATCGTGTTTTCGAATTTGCTCTTTTTAAGAATGCAGACGCTGATGACGATAATGTGATTAAGATAATATAATTTTTACAGTCGTGACAGTGAAAAACGAATGAGCGGTGTTAAAATCGAGAAGAACGATAAAGCTCACAATCGCTTGAATATATAGAAAAAATCGAAATGACTATATGAAGAAAATACGGAGATGGAAGAACACGTCGGAGATTAAAGGAGACACGTCGGAACGTCGTTGAAAGTGACGTTCTTGAACCGGCTCGAACTGATAAAGAAATATCTCGTCCTATCAGCGCGAGAATCGTCGATGGCAATCATGCTGTGCGGCAAAACGAGTCTCGTGAGACGCTTTGACACCTTTTACGTCGCATAGACGAACGTGAGTGTTATCTCAAGTTACCAGTTATTGTATCGAGAAAATCGGATGTTTAAAACAACGTAAGCGAGATGTTTTGAGAATAAATAGTTTGTTTGGAAAAGAAAAATTCGATTATTTTAAGTGAAATATGACATGGATATAATGACAGTTGACAGTTGACAATTTCTATTGTCATTAGTTAAAATTAACTCTATCTAGGTTTTCATAGTACAATTTATTAAAAAAGCAAATAATTTGTTAAATTTTGATTACTTTTAATTAATGTACGCGGATAATCTTTGACATGATCAACTGCAAAGTACAAAAGCTTGAAATAATTTATGTACATTTTATTCAATGTGTAATAATTATTTACGTAAGATTAACTGTTCATTGTTTATTAAAAACGTTAAAAATACTTGTATTACAGTAACTATAAAAATTCCGATTTCTATTTTCAGCTTATAAGCAGATTTAAAATCCGCCGGTAGAGCATTTTTTTTCGGAACATCTTTTGTACATACGATATAGTGGTGCTACAAAAGAGACGAATGCAATGAATAGTGTTAATGCCGTATTGGAAAAAAAACCAATCCGTCTATCTGTCTATCCTTGCTAACGAACATCCGGGTATTTCAAAATAGCCTGGCAAAACCACTTTCGTAAATACAGTATCAAGTGCTATAGAAATTTTAAGGGGATATATACGCTATTCTGTGACCGATTATTAAGCGTTGCGTATTGAGTGCTCAATGGGATATTATCTTTGGAAATTATGACAATATTGCAATAATTAATCCATAGTTTCAATAGATAGATACTTCATGTAATCATTTACAGTGCAAATTCTTCACTCATTATGAAGAATTAATAATTACCAAGTTGATTTAATAATATCTTAATTATATCTTTTTCATTACTTTTCCAATAAATTTCGCGAATGTTAAAACAAGTTATGAGACATGAAACAAAAATTAATTATAAAAATTTATATTCTTTTGTTATTTACAAATTTATTAATATATTATATTTTTTATTTACTTTTGCTTATTATGTAGAATAATTTGTTGTTAATGAAAAAATATTACGTAGATATTTCTCTCTTTTTCCCTCTCTTTATATTAGAAAATGAATAATAATACATTTTGTAATAAGTTTCTAAATAAGTATATCAGAATTTATGTGAATTCTATTGAATTAGTCATGAATAGTTTGCTTGATAATCAAGTTGTAGTTGATCAACATGATCTAGGATAATAGACGTCGACGTAGTCGTTAATCATAGTCATTATCACGACGTTTTAGTGATATGATTAGGTATGTTAACATTGTTCGTGGTTACTATACAATTCACAACTTGAAACGTGACGATATCCACAAATTCCACGAAATTTCCGACCGAGTGAGACAATTAATGAACATGATAATGCAACCATCCTCTGTGCCTACCCTCTTTCTCACTTTCGCTTTCCTTTCTCTTCACCCTATTCAGACATAATGCATTCAGTGATTGTATTGTTATGTCGTATTAGCAACATATTTGGTTACTTAAATTAAATATTGGATTGGAATTGTTCAGAAAATTAGTAGCAATTTGTATTACAAAATCGAATACAATTTTTATATGTTTAGCACCACTTTTATTCAGTAATGTATGTTTTTTTCGACAATCCTTAGACATTTTTAACAACAGTGCATGTATTGAATAAAAATGGGCACATAAATATATAAAAAAATTGTTTTTTATTTTGTTATAGAACTATGAACTCTCCAAATAACTAATATATAAATATTTTTTTTTATTTTAAGAATTTAAATATATTTTTATTTATATCTCGGCTATTGTTACTGCGAGATTTTTATTTATTGTACTCATTATATGCTGTGGCACACATTGCCTTATATATATAATACCTAGCTAGATTTAATTTTTAATACCTTTTTAATAGAAATGCAATATTTGTCCAATAATAACAAATTTTTAAACTCTAACAAGCTGTTTTAATGACTTTTCTTTTTGCTTTATTTTGCATTTTTATGAAGAAAACAATAAACGTCAAAAATTTTAGTTTATAAAATATACATTCTACTTCTTGAATACTATTTGTTACATCAACATAAAAATTTAAATGCAAATTGTATTTTTATTTGCATATTTAATATTATTAATAATATTTGCATACATTATATTAGCATATATTTGACATATTTATTTAAATAAACTTATGAGTAAGTTTTTATCAAAGCGAAAATATATGTATATATATATATATATATATATATATATATATATATATATAATATGGGGGCGAAAAAGTATTCAGAATACTCGTTATTTGATATTTGATGAGCTACATAAAATTTTGGGCACATACAGAGATGTTTCGTCTCTTTTTAACTTTAATATAAAAGATTTTTTAACAACTTAATTTTATCTCAAATAAAATTTTGAAGAAAAGAAATAATTTGCTAATAAGTTTTTAATGGTAAACATTAAATAATGTTATACATAATAATTATTAGTAAATTAAAAAAACTTAAAAAGATAAAACTAATTTGCATTAAAATGCATAATAAAACTTGGTGCTTTTAATTGCATAACCATAACTTAATTTACAAAAAAAATTTTTGGTTATTTATAAATTCAAGGATAATCCTGTTTAAATATTTTCGTCAATAAAATTATAAAATACTCTGTATAATATTTATTAATTATCGCTCATGGATTACTCGTTATATTAAAAGATTTCCTTCATAATTAATTTATTCATAATGTGATCTGAGCATATATTTTGTAGCTACTTTGTGGTACGCTATAATATCATATTGTAAATTTGGTTGTTAATCGAGGATTAAATTGGAGATTATTCATTGGTAACAAAATCTTTCAATTTGATCAATAATTTAAAACGTTAGCTGCATCAAAGCAATTATAAGAATAATTTTTAGTAAAATGTATAATCAATAAAACATTTAATGCGACAACAGAAAGCAAATAATGATGATTCAGCGTGTGTAAATTGTTGAATGTTATTTTTCAATTTGTTTAAGTTAGTGTCAAAAGCAACGTGCGGATAAATTTCAAATTTTGCACTATGCATGAGCACGTGCTTCAATGCGAAATATAGATAGATAGTATAAGATATGCATGAAAGTGCATATAGTGTTCTGAATATATAGTTATTATAATTAATTTTGTGTACATAGGTTGACATTGCTAAAGTTTGTAGCGTATAATTAATGATTACGATTAATATTAAATTGATGGTTCCTGCATTTTGTTCATAAAAGATATATGAAGTATCAAATATTCTGTCATCTCTAAATTCTATACATCAAATAATACATCAAAAAATAAAAAAATACATCAAATAATATGCCAGAAGCAAAAGAGGAAATCTAATGAATATTTAAAAATAATCATAAAATATTTCATGATTTAAAACATTTTTCCGTTAAAAAACAATAATAATAAAATAAATAATTATGCTTCAATATCCATCAGAATATCATAGTTTACTTCACAGACTGCAATTTTCGATTTAAATTGTTCAATTTTATCAAAAAATCGACAAATATCGTAAACCCACTCTTAGTTACGTGTATTATCGAACAAAAATCAACCTGCGTAATTTACTCTCAAAAATTGCAAATTTATGTTGTAAATTTGCTACGCCACAGTACACAAAACAGATAACAAAGCACTTTTTGCATCAGCAATGAGTTATTAAGATAATTTAAAAAAATTAATTGTATATATGCATTGATTATAAACAAAATATAATAAAATTTTATTTTTTATTTTTAATTGCGGAGAAATAGCTTTTATGCAAAAGATGTCATATTTAAAAAAATGTCATATTTAAAAAAATTTTCATTTTCAATACTAGGCAAAAAATATTGGATAGAATATACTTTTTGTAAAATACAAATTTTATTATATTTTATTAATTAGTTTATGAATAATATATATTGCACAAAAATCACCACATTTGAAATTGTACTTTAAAAATATGTTCTCTCTGTGAAGATATTTAACAATTAAAATTATTAATAAGATCAAATAAAAGATATACTTATTTGTATTGAAATTGTATTAAATATTCTGTTCTCAATATTTATATTTTCAAAACTCTAATTTCTAAATTTAATATTTTATGACTCATATGTCTCCATATCTGTTATTATGTAGAAAAGTTCATATAACTTGTGTAAAATTTGAAATTTTTGTCTATAAAGATAGATATTTAATATTTTATTATTTGTTTATAAATATGTGTGCTGTACACATTAGACGTGATTATGAAAATGTAATTCTCAGAATTTGTACAGTTAAAATAAGATAGAATAAAATAACAGTCAATATTTTGTATCATTGAGCAAATATATAATAAACATATAATATAATAAATTCACTCACCGGTCGTTGTACTCTAACCAAGTATGCTTTCAGCTCTACCTGGAAAAATTAATATATATTTTTATTCTTAGCTATTATAAATTATATATTATACATTATGTATATTACATTCGTTATTATGTATTTTTTGATTATTTCCATTTTAATTAAAACATGGTTATAGGCAATAAATTGCATGAATTATTAATTAAAAAATTTTAATAAATAAATACTTTAATAAACATTTTTAAACATATTGATAAATAATTAACAAATAAAAATTCTATAATAGCTCTATATATGTTTATTATTATAATTTTTAAATAATAAACAAAAATTATACTTACTAGCTAGAGTATTGTAGTTTACTTCTGCTGCAGACTCCACTTTAGACTGCATCAACTCCATTGAAGAATCGATGAATATCAGAAATCCGCACTTAATTACACAAGCACACACACACACACACTATTAAACAAAAATTAACTCACAAACTTGATTTACGTAAAAATCACACGGATTCACATTGCAAATTTACTACGCCGCACTACATACAACACAAACGCGAGATACATAAGACATACTTTACGCCACAACGCGTTCACGGATATAATTGTATCTGAGTATTATAATTTCACACATATTTGGCACTTTATGTTATTGTACGCATACTCAGAGTGTGCGAGATAAACAACGATTAAGAGCGGGCGAGAGAGACGAACGATTGACTCAGCGGTCATATAGGTTAAACAGCTACATGTTATTCAATTGAATTCTTACAAGATACACTCCTAACATACTTTTGCATTCATTGAAAAGTGTTTGCGTGTTGATTTTCTTCAACAATTGTAGGAATCGTTTATTCTACACATCTGTAGCATCAAAATCTGTACTCGTTTAACCTCTCTCAACTTACGGTCCAGTCGCCAGACGATTGACGCTGTTAATCACGAATATCAACGGTAAACAATATGTCCGATAGTCGCCGGTTATTTGAATCGACACTCCGGGTAAACATTTGCACTCGTTATACACTTGAAATACGGATACGTGATACATCATTACTTGCAAAAATGTTTGCGCTACATATTTCGACGCGCTAGGACAGTCTGGAAATCTGTACTCATTTAACCTCTCTCAACTCACGGTCCAGCCGTCAAACGATCGACACCGTTAATTGGAAACATCAACGGTAAACAATATGTCCGATAGTCGCCGGTTATTTGAATCGACACTCCGGATAAACACTTGCACTCGTTATACCCCTGCAATACGGATACATGATACGTCATTACTTGCAAAAATGTTCGCGCTACATGTTTCGACGCGCTAGGATAGATTCACGATGGCCGGGGGGTGGCGCTCGCGACCATCTCGGACATTTCGTGCGCTACCCTACCGACTGCCGTGGATATATTTCGGCGCGTCAGTAGAGTGCGGGGTACAGAATAATCATGCGATGAATCGCATATTTTACGTGTTAAAAGGGTATACCGTTATAAAATTCTTATCGGAATTGTCGATTAGAATGACGGACGATTGCTGAGACGTATTATCTACCACGAATGTTTGCGAGTAACGATGTTTCATCGATTGACCGGGCTGTGAGGTAAGATGGGTTAAAATTTCAGTATCTATGTACATATATATTGTATTTTGTGATGCCGTAGATGTCATGCGCGCTCTGAATTGTTCAAAACTAATGCATTTTTATGTGTCACGGCATTCTCTTGATTGCTTGTGTATATCAACAATCAGGAATGCGTCGACACAAAAGTTGCGACAATTTTGAACAATTCGGAGTATGCTTGATTGCATCTAGATATTTGTGCAGATATTTATGACGCAGAATCGTATTTCTAAGCATTTGATACATTTATACGAAAGATTAATACAATAAATTAATAATAATGCAATTTATAATTTTTTTATCAACAATCATGATGCATGAATACATAGACGCGATGCGCACATTTTGAATTGTTTAAATTGACGCATTTTCATGTGTTAAGGTGTGTCCTGATCGCCGGTACGTCTGTTCTGAAGATAGTCACCTTGCTGAGGGCAGCACCATCTATAATTATGTATATGGAAGCGTTACGGCATAAAATGCGTTTCATCTCGCATTTACATCTTGTACACCGCGGCGTAATAAATTCGAAACTTGAATCCACGATTTTCGCGGACTGTAAAGAATCTGCAGGTTGACTTTCGTTAGGTTGTGCACGTAGTTATAGAAGATAAATACGGGTTTCCGAAATTCATCGATTTTTTGGAGTTGATGCCGAAAGGAATCTGCAGCAGGTGCAACAAGTTGCAGTAGCCTATCTGGTGCGTATATGATTCTTTTTTTATTATTTGACTTTATTTAGAATTGTACAAAACACACAAGAGCAAAATTACAATTATTATTTATGAAATATTTATTATATTCCACACAGCATGCATATTCGGAGAACGTTCGGGGGACATCCTGAAAATATCGTATCTTTTAAAGATATCTTCGAGATGTCTTCTGGATGTCTTATGGTTATGTATGCTGTGTGGGATGTATAAAAATATTTATCCAAATATTTATTGAAATTATTACAATATTTAACTAATTCTTTATGCAATTTATTACTAATAGCATAATTAAAATAGAAATAATAATTTAATCAAAACGCAAATAATTAAATAATATTAATTAATATATATAAAAAGCAAACCTAATTTAATTAAAATATGTATTAATTTTTCAGATACAGCTGATGACGTATGTAGCTAGAATACAACGGGTGAGTACATTTATTTGTTATTGAAATATGCTTTTATGTACAAAAATTGTGATAACACATAAAATATTCATTTAAATTTCCATATTTTTTTTTAATTTAAAAAACTTTTTTGCTTTGTTTATGAACTATTTTATTTTTACTTGCTAAGGGAAATACAATGCACAATAAATAATTATTTTTACAATGTTTTACAAAAATAATGGGTTAACAAACGCATTTGTAGTTATATGTACATTTTTGATAGTGCATTTTCAATTTTTGTTGAAGACATATGTATTACGTCGAGTGCAGTCTCTCTTTCTATACGCGCGTACTCTTTATTCGAAAAGAAGCTCCCCAAAGAGCATCGTCGGGCTTCCATGTGAGCAAAGCGGGTTTCGCGCCTGCGAAGCGCACGTTGAATTGTACAACAGTAACGTCACGATAGTAACGACGTTTCTAACTTCTTTCCTTTAAGCGCCTCTTGCGTTTCCTCTCAGCTCCAAGTCGCGCTTTGCGCTGAGTTAACGTCTCGTTCGGATATAATAGAGACAAACGAGACGCGTTCGTCAAATGTTTTCTTCCTTCAATCTCGCAATATGATGTTTCTGTAGCACACATTTACTGAAAGCACATTACACGTCAGAAATTCTTAATTTACCAGTCTGTATTTTTATATGCTTCACACAGCTATTTTGTACAGCATTTTGCATCTATTCCTACTACAATTTTATAATTTTTCTTTAACAAAAACTTATAAAATTTAATTAAATATTGCGTTTTTAATTTTAAAATGTTATAACGCTAAATGCATTTCAAGTTTGTGCTTTTTTAATTTGCCATTATTTACTACTTACACATGTCGGCAAATATGTTTTTCAAAAAGTTTTTAAATCTGTCAACGAGAGAGAAAACTGAAAATTATTGCAGTTGCCTGGAAAATCTCATTTACCAGAATTAAAGAGATGAAAGTTACAGATTACACCGTCGTAAACAGACTTAAATAGCAATATGTTACACGCCTTCACGATTAATTTCTTTGGCTTACTCTCGAAACTGTCATATCCATCTATATTTCACAGGCGCGTCGATCTTACGCGATTTATCGATTAACCATTTACCGTTTCTTTGTTAGACAAGCGTTAAATTTCGCTCAGTCGCGGCGTATCAACTTCCTTCCTGTATCTCTTCAAATATGAAAGTTATGAAATTCTTGCTGACATCGTCGCGTTATTAATCGCAAGACCGCCTACCGAGCACAATGTATCGTTCATTCACAGCACAATGTATCGCTGACGCGACGTAGGTTGCATTTTTTTCCTGGTCGTAGGAACGCCTCGATAATTTTCAGAAATTTATTGCGGCCGTGGTCGTATGAGGCAAGAAAATGAAACGAGAAGAGAACGGAAGTTAAAGTCCGCAGGAAATATCGCACACCTTGACTAACCGTTAAATTTTGATTTGGTGGCACATTTTTTTACAATATATTTCGATTTTATTTCCATGCCACTTACTCCGCAATTTCGTCACGGTTTATATCGTACGGCATCAATCTGTTACGTCTCATCTACTTCTTGCTCGCGTGTTTCCTAATAAACTTGATTTATTTAAGCCGTCGCGTAGAAACTGCATGTTATGTATCAAAAAAATTTAATAACGACACAATTTAAATACTTTAATTATTTTATTATTGCTTATATTATATTTATTATATGCTAACAGTATTTATAGTATACAGTATAATGCTAAATAATTTTTTATATTTCTTATAATATTAAAATATAATTTTAATATTATAAAAAAAATCAGAAAAATTATTTTAAACTGCTATAAATATTATTAAGAATTTTCTAGTTTACTATGACGTGAAAATCTAGTATACAAATATTGCGGTAATAAAACACTTTTTGGTCAGCGGCCAAAAGAGCGCAGTATGCAAAGGACAGTCTAAAACTTTTTAGCAAACTTTATGTTAATAAACGGGATTACTGTTGATAAGTAAAAACTTAAGATGCAACTTATCTATTTCACTGTTTAGACTCTTATCGTTTCGATGGAAACTAAAGTCGGAAACTAAGCTATTAAAGTTTCATCTACTGGACCATTTAAAAGCGTAAAATTAAATGATCTCTGAAAGAAAGAACAAGAAACTTCTGTTTAAAGTAATACTTAGTTACCAGTGGTTTTTTACGACAATAAGATTTAGTCGTTGGTAACCACAGTTAGTCTTTTTCGATTATAAAATCTATAAAGAGTTAACATAATGTACTTTTTATTGGCAATAAAACGCACACGTAATGTTATCCACTGCCGCAAAAAACGTATAACGCGTGATGTCGTTTCCATATCTTATTTCTAATATTTTCTAAATCATTATTATAAATATATCAATAAATAAAGATTTATCAGCAAATAATTATATTTATATAATTATAAAATTGTATATAAAAAATGCTATTATTGAAAAAGTCTCTAAGTATTGTCGTTTCTTAATTAGTATATGTTATAAGTATTGTTGATTAATGGTAAAAATATATATTATTTTTTAGCAACAATAATAATTTTAAAAAATTAACTTTTTTTTACTTTAAACTTAAAGGAAACATCATGTTGCTGACATAAAATATCTTACACCTTTTATGTTTCGCCGTATTTTTATTGTGCTAGTTTCAACGTTGTAATGTTTAAAAAAATGCGCATAATTCCAAGATACACGCTCGCCGTGCGTTTAATAAATTTTTAACGCGCCCGTAGCGCTAAGGGCCGAAGCTCTGCCTCGATTCACTAAGAGGACTTCATGCGAGAGAAAGGAGAGCAAACTCCGCAAGAAGTCGTCGATGTAGCGAAAGAACGTAGCATGAAAAAAAGTCGTTTCGGACGCAATGGACACACCTACGTAATCAAACAGCGCGCTTAAAACCACGCCGTTCGACAAACAAACACGCAGCGAGAGGCAAAGTTACCCCCGGCTAAATTGGGTTAGCTCGAAATCCGTTTACGCTAACTCTAATGGCGAAAGCGTGAGCTGCATGCGGCGTCGACACCGAACTTCGGCATCCGTTGAGAACAGTCGCCCGCGAGAGCGATTCTACGTATATAGCTTGCGGCATTTATTTTCTCGACCAGTCTTTTGATCATCAAATATTTGTAGTTGTAGTGAGCGCTCGCTGGCTCGCTATTTGATTCGATTCACTTTGGATTCACGCATACAATACGCATGGCGCAGATTGTAATGTAAAAGAATCGCGAGCGAGCTTGCGTTACGACACAAAGGAACTTGATCGATGACGATCAATATTGATAATTGATTAGACCAGTCAATTAGTTTGCTTATAAATGACGTATTAATAATTCGGGCTGTACAATCAAAACCTCGCGTTTCATGTCATTCAAGACCACACGACGCAATGCGTGTTACATTATCTATTAATAGATAATAACATAATTAAATTCACGCCTTCGTTAATACTCATGCTTAAATAAATTGTGCCAATCAAATAAATATATTTGTGAGAAATAGATAACAATGGCAATAATAATTCTATGTATATTAAAATACCTTTGTCAACAATGTTAATGACAAATTATTAAGATAATATTCAATTAAACAGCTAATATACATAGCATTATCAAAGATTAAACAATTAGAAATTACAAACTATTTGTCATATTAATAACTAGATACTAGCTGGATAATAACTAATGAAAGATGAAAAAAGAAAATAATAGACGCCATTTGCAAACTGCCGTCACCCACGAAGAAAATCATGTTGTGTTTCAAAGATATTCTGCAGCGTTTCTCGTAGTTTGCTCGACGAAATATCGTCGAAGGGACTTCACTCTCTGCGTACCGGGAAAGTTCGTTCTGATTCAACTACATCTTTTCGTAACGCAGTTTTAACTACGAACTCTGTCTGTCGCGTTAGCGCGAAGTTACCAGGACAGGACTGTCGTGTGGCACAATGCGGTACGTCGAGATAGAGTCGGGCGCAGGAACATTATCGTGGCAGCACCAAAAACTCCTCCGAAATCGCTTCGGAAATAAAGGGAGCGACTCTTTTTCCCGTGGTATCTCCGGCGGCGTAACGGAGGTCGTATCTACCGGGAAGGTTAAAGGCCAAATTCCCTTTTTTCCATCTCACCCTCGGAAAGTGCACCTTGGGGAGCAGAAACGCAGGCCCACACGATTTCACTCCGGAGACCGTAGCATCGCCCCTTTTTTCGCTTTCTTTTAGAGATCTAGCGCAAATAAAAATAAACTGGGCTCTGGTTTCAATAATGTTGATGTGCAGCTATCGCACTACGTAAAAAACTATAAAAGTGTAAAACTATACAACTATAAATAGTGCTTCCCAATTTTTCCTAAATTTCTATTTTTTTATACGTAGAGAGAGATATTGTTGCGTGCAATGTGTGGCTTAATTATTTTTCTCTTCAAATGTTTTTTCAGAGTTTATTTAAATAAGTGTTTTTTTTAATTTAAATTATATTTCTAAAATTAAATTAGGTCAGCAAATTTTATTTTTAACCTATTTTTTTTTTTTAATGAATAAACGTATATATTTATTTATTTATTTAAAAATTAAAAATACTATTTTAAAATAAAAAAAAAATAGAAAAATGCAACTACAAAAAAGCAGATGTTTTAAAATTTTCTCTTAGTTAATAAACAGTAGCAAATTGCGCATTTCTAATTTTATTAGTTTATTTTTATTTCAAGTTAAAATCATAAATTATAATTTAGTGAATGTAACTCTCAGCAAATACTTCCGTATAGAATCGTACAGGCTATTTAGGCAGTTAATTTTTCAATGAAAAAATACGATCTCCAACGAATTGTATTTTGCTGGTCCGTTCATGTTCTGATTTTACGAGGCCAATATTTTGCGCTTTGCATTGTTTGTCCAGTAAATGTCCATTGATCAAATCCATTTTGATCAATGAACAATTATGAGTAATGCGATGATGACTGCGCGTGTACATAATAGCACGAAATATTGCAAAAGTTTTATTTATTTATCTGTATATTTGGAAAAGCAGATGATAATATTTTACGCATACTTAAATCTCTAATACAAAATAAATGGTTAACATATGTGTAACAGATTAACATTATTGATTAAAGTTATTTTATTTCAGTTAATTAATTCTATTTTATTTCATCTATTAAAAAAATATTTTTTTTCCAATTCTAGATTTTCAATTTTTTCAATTTTTTACATCGTATTGTGTCTTTCTATTTTTAGGTCGTGTCTGTGCAGAAGATGATGGTTATCTAAGTATCTTGCCGGATGTGCGACGAACTTTTGAGGATGTGCAGTTTGGTGTTAAAGTGTCGGTGAGAACGGAGCAACTTGGCGTACTTATGATTTCCTTTTCTTTCCTTGATTACACCTCGCCTTACGGAGAACCAGCAGGAACGATGTCATAGTCGCCCAAGTGTGGACTGACTTCACATTGGACACAATGGCACTGCTGGTCGCCATAATCGTTATTTCGATCACCACTGCCATGTCGCTGCCGCCGGTCATCAGAATCGGTGAGTCCATTTTGATTGAATTTACCAAGCTTTAAGTTATTTATGTGCGAAATATTACAACATGTCTGTTTATATGTAACAGCAGACTGCTTAATTATTTATTGAGAAGTTGATTATCAGTCACACAAAATGACTGACAATTGCTGAATTTATGGTATACCATTCTACAATTTATGAAACATTTTTGTGGAAAATTTTATATTTAATAAAACCTATTATTCGTTGCGGAACTGTACGCAGGTTTAAAAGCCGCGAAAATATATTTTCAAAACAAGTTGTGCAACACGCGATATTATCATGTTTATCTGTATTTTCTGTGACTTATGGCTTTTCATGCACGCCGTTGATCACAGGACGCCGATGCGCAAATACCGCGGCATGTACCATGCGTAGTTCGCCTGTAGAGCGTCAATTAGTTCGGTCGTGAAATTGTCCAATTTCATAGCGTATATCTGCAGAAAGATTTCCACGTTGGTCAATTACACTGCGAAATTCACTTCGTATTAAATTCATGCACTTATGCACTTGCGGATATATTGCAATAATATATCTGCATAATTATAATAGCAAGTATATAGTAACAAATGAGCTGCTGGTAATATTTTGTGAAAAATGAAAATGAGAAATGAACGCGAAGCGGTATAAATTATATCCAAATATTTGAATTGTATTTTAATTAACTAAAAATATTATTTTTTAATTACGTTTTTAATAACGTAAAAATGTATTTTCAAACATTTTTATACGAATTACTTTGCAAGTGTTCTTATGAATTTGAAGCAACTTGTAGAATAGTAATGATTTCGGATTCTCCCTCTCGTCAGCTTCCGCGGCTTTATCACGAGCGGCAATTCACCCGCAAGTCAGTCTCAGGCCTCGATTCACGGCGCATAGAGGATCGTTTGCAACTTTTTCCGCCGTACAAGTCGCAAACTTGCCGGAAACTTTCCGGCAAGGGTGATTATGCTCCGTTGTGGCAGGTAGATGCGACGGCGCGGTTTAGAATTACAGAGTATGTCGCTAAGTACGCGAGGATCGAATCTTCACCTGTTACCGGGCACGCGACTTCATCAGTATGGACTCATTAGTATTCCGAAGATGTTCTGAGTGAGTGTAGAGCAGACGTGTCCGTGCGTCGGATGTCAGGCTTCGACTTCGGTCGTGTGTATCCAGCCGTCACACGCGCACGCACGGCATACATTCGCGACACAAGAGCGCAGCTCGGGGCTGCTTGCTGCTCACCGGTTAAGTTTGACGGTAAGAAAGTTTTCCGTCGATCTAATTGGTCGAAGTTCTGTAGGGCAACCGCCTCGGGGGAAACTTGTCTGCAATTTCTTATGATGGTTAGAATGAAGAAAGAACGATAAGGCAAGTGGGTTTGTCAGACAGGGTGCTCGCGTCTGACAAACCCACGTCCCGCGTATATAAGACAAATTCGGGGAATGAAAGAAAGTAAAACGTCCCCAGGGAGGTAACAAAGATCCTTCAACATCCCGAAACGCGATATCTGTCCGAGACCGTAAAGAAAATACCGGAAATATTACGTATTCATGCTCACTGCTATAATCTTTCTCGTGTTTGATGACGTAATTGAAATATTCATTATTCAGCGCGCGTAACACGCGCAGGTGTTAATAAGAATAACGATATTTATTTAATCTAACAGCCAACCACACGAAGAATATTAACTGTGAGTTTTCATTCGAAACTCATAGTCCATTTCGCTTTTACGTTTTTTTTTAAATAAAAAAAATGGATATAGACAGGAAATAACGTTTTTTTGTTTTGAACGATGTGAACAAAACAATCGCAACTGTAACGCAAACAATCTGTAGAGATAAATTTAAACAGACTTGATGAATTCGGCAGACAAGAGTTAAATAATGCACGACCACATATAAAAAAAATTTTTTTTGTTTCATTTTTTTTACATAGATATCAATTAAAAAATCTTTGAATTGAAATAATGCGTGAAAGCACGCATTCGCGATGTAGTAATCTCGGAGATGAAAGTTACATGAGTTTTTCGAACAATGAGCGTAACATGAATGCAAGTACGCAGATTGCAAGGCGAAACATCTGCCGCATTGCTGCGTCTTTCAATGGTGTAGAAGCCGAGTAGTTTTCAAGATGATTAATTTTCTTACTGCCATTTTCCGCGTTTTCTTGGTGACACCTGAAACTAAAGCTGTAACGCAGACTTGTAAGCTGAGTGAAATGAGATGGGCGAGTCTCCTATTTCTTAAGATTCTTATCAGGCGAGAACTGAGAGATTTTCATTATCAAATAGTAACTGAATAAAATGGAATAAGATAATTCAAAATCTTTTTGCATTTGTATGTTGCAAATTAGTGAATGTTATTGAGTTCATTTAATACGTACAAAATGCTTACTTGATATTTATTAATTACAGTAAATTCTATTATTTTTATCTCGTGATGATATTATCATTCAATTTTTATATATGCAATTGTACAAAATTAATTCTTTGAAAATACTATCTCTTATATAAAATCTAAATATTATGTGTCAGAATTTTTGCAATAATATTATAATTAAATAAAAAGAGAGAGTAGCAAAAATATTAAATAGTTGAAAGCATAATTATTTTATTCATTTATTTGTTAAAAATTTAATATTTTTCACATCTTTTTACCATTAACATCTTTTTACCATTAACATGAAATAAGTCAGATGAAATATTGTTTGAAAACAAACATTTGCATTTTGTCAGCTAATAAAACAGAACCAGGGTGTTATTAACATTTATAACCAACGAGCTGTTAACAACCCATTCCGTATAAAATACACCGACGTTATGTTCGATTTACATACTAATGCACTAGGCGTTGTTAACGAACCATTTCAAAACTCGGGTATGAATATGACTCTCTGGAGATATTGTCTTAGAATCTCATAATCTTACACATATTTACTCACTTTTTTACTTGTGTTTATTATCTTAAATTCCAAACTAAAAAATAGTTTTAAATATCAAAATTATTATATTTGCGCACATTTTTTATTCAATAGTTATTACAATATATCATATTTTAATTATTATATTTTATTGAGACCTGCACGTTATTAATAATTTGCTCAGAAAACAGACAAGCGAATATAGAAAAACCGGCTATTATTCGGCGAAAATAATTATAAATGAACGAACGTTGTAAATATCAGACGTAACTTTCTAAAAATTATTTATGACACGATCGATACACGAAGCTTTCTGCAGCGTGTCTGTTACACGCCTCTCGTGAGTCGTACCCGATCAAAGCGCAAGTCACTTAATGTTGCGCTAAGAACCGCCGTCAATGGTAGACGCAATCATAAATTTTATTACTTGTATGCCTGCTACAGGCATTTACGTCCATCTACGCGCATAAGATCTGCGATCCGTTTACAGTCGTTACGCTGAATGTCGCACCCGCCGCTGAGATCTGCGTCGGAATGATAGAACATTCTAGTTGTAACGCCAGTATTATCTGCAGTAAATAAAAGTACACGAATGCATATACAGGCGTGCCGTTATACTCCGCGATACTGACCACTGGTTGTAACATTCGCATTTCCGCAAAGAGTTTCATTATTCGCCATTTTATGGGTGGTACGGGCGCGAGGCGAGCGGATTAATGTAATTTTCAACGGGGTGGTGAAAGGAAAAGATAGCAGGAAAACGAATATTCGATAACGATCAAGATATCTTCAGCAAACATCGCGATGGGACTGCAAATGCAGTTTCTCTCGTATTTCGAGAGAGAGGAACGCCTCGAGATATAATTCTACGTACTACGCTAATTTAACAGAGAAACGTTTGTATTTTTTAACATCTATTTTAGTTGAGAGTATATTGATTGATAATTGTTTTTTTTAAGTATTTTCTCATTATTGTTTTTATTATTATACAATTTATGAAAGTTTTACAACGCAGAAATTTCAAACTTTATGATACGGTGCGCGTAATATTTTTACGCTAAATATAAATTATTTATGGTCCGAGAAACGTCGTAAAATAAGCACTTTTTAAAATAAGAATTTTACAAAATAACGCGGAAGAAACGTGAAGTTACAATTCTGCAGCTACTTTTTCTTCTATATTGTTACTCAAGGTATATACGAAGCGTGCATTCCCAAATGCAAGTTTATGAATCGCCGCGAGTTCCGCAGCTTTTCGCTACATCGCATGTCTCGCTGATAAATCGCCGTTACGCTCGTGTACGAAAATTATCGGTACAGTCACTTGACGGTACATCGCACTTTGAAAGTATTACCATCTTCGCTTTCTCAGCACGCCAAAAATTTTTGAATCCGTAAGAACTATGCAGCAGCATGCGCTTGTAAATTTGCGGCGGGAGGGAAAACTTCGAACACTCGAAGGTGCGAGCATGAACGAGCTTAATAAACTTCCCGTAACCTCCTTCGAAGTGAACGGAAGTAAATCGCCATCGCGTTGACAGTATTAAAGATTTATAACTTGCCCACGCGCGCAGGCAAGGAATTATAATGCGTTCCGAAGCTCGTAGTCAACTGTGGTTCGCCGTCACTCGCAAAAATTTCAGTTCCGATAAAATTCGATTATTCTACTGTAAAAATATTTTTACAATTTTAGACGTCTTTATTATGGATTTATATTTGACAACTTATAAAAAGAACAAAATGGTGAAAGTAGATTTTATAATTTTGTTGACTTTTCAAAGGTTTTCCACTTCGCAGTTAGCAAGATGATAGAAAAGTTAATACCAATTTATAGCTTTTTTTATCTGCATTCATACGTAATATACGTACAATACGTATAACCGTGTACTATTTGAAAATACAGAACTGGAGCTGAATTCTGTCGCTGAGAATTTACAGAAATTGCATGTCACGTCAACGTTGAAATGCGAAGAGATAATACTGCATGTGGAAGCTATTACTTTTTCACCAAAGCGCACGATTCTCGCTGAATTTCTTTCAAGCGAAATAAATTATATTGCAGAATGAGCATTGTTCTAATA